GAGTTTTGCTGCTGACTTCAACACCATCTCCAAGGCCATATTTCTGCTTTGTCTTCTAACAATAACTGTTGGTCTGCATCCTATTTTTACCCAACATATCATCCACTTTGCACCTGATCCTTTTGTTAAGAATCCACTTATTTAAGCATTAGCAAAGTTAGTTGCTTTTAATATATCATCCAGCCTTGTGACTAGCAGCTTTTGCTGAGACAGAAAAAAAAACTTTTATTCAGCTGCACACCCAGCACTCCCCAAAATCCATATCATTATCCTAACACAAAGCATCCCATCAAGTCATGGCAGGGGAGGAAGAGGGAATTTGTAAAGGGTCACATCACCGGAAACACCTTCCCGACGGTTCATACACACCGCTTCCCACACAGATATGGACCCAGACCATACCAGGTGACTACTCAACAAATACATGCCACAACCAATATTAGATACTATCAGAAACCTGGAAACTAGGGATTCATGAGATTACTGACTAATGAAATTATATGGGAACTTAGCTGAAGGAAACAATTGAAGGAGTTACTAGAACAAACTGATTTTTAAGTATGAGTTGTCTAACTTGTTTAAAATGTAAATTTAATTATGTATTCCTGTTTTGATTGGATAGTAAAAATGAAGAATGTCTCAAGATAGAGACACTTGGTTTTTATACTTCTGCTGTGGTTCTCTCTCTAAGCAAAGTGTAAGAGTTCACTGGTGCCCCTTGAACCTAATAATATGATCAGTTCTTGTTTCCATACTACAACTGTATAATTATGTAGAGAAAAATCAGATGGCTTTTTCTTTCTTTTTTTAAACTAAGTGATGATTTCTGCACTGCATTTTAATTAATTGGACAGTTGTAGCACCCGGTGACTATGGAAATAAGAACAACTTACTTATGATAACCATCCTTTGCTCAGGTCCTCAGAGTCCTCCAGTATGTCATTAGCTGCTAGGAAATAGCTACCATCTAGATTATTATTGCTAAAGTAAATATATTTACATTTTCCTCACTCAGCATATACCCGCCATACCTTCCCAGATGTTTACCTTCTGAAAATTATTACATATGATGGTTTATGCAAAGAGTGCTTTGGAACCAAATTAACTATCAGATAGAGAGGTGTCCATATCATAACAATTACCATTACAGTTAGCACTCTCTGAGGCTGTTGTTTACAGTCTCAACAGAAAAGCCAAAGACAAGGAAGGGAAGAACAACACTGCTGCTTACGTTGTTCTAAGGATAATCAAAAGACTTAATTTCCAAGATTTTTAAACACACTAGCTTCACACAGATTGCACATAGATGGAAAAGTCCTTTTTGGTTTAAAAAAATGTGCAATACAGCTGGGTTTTTTTCCCTTTGACTATTTGGGGGAGAATTGTTGCCAAAAATATACTGATTTATTAAAGCTAATATTTTCATGGATCAGTTTTTATTTTAGCAAACTTTTCAGCAAAATGTTTTTTATCCATCTGAAGAATTTGTGGACGATTTGGGTTAATTTCCTCTTGGCTTTGCCATTTCATTTTAGCTTTGCTTTTTTGTTTTGGCTTCATATTGGAAAATTCCACCTTATACCTCATGTTGCCCTGAATGCTCATCCACTAAATGAGTCCTCATTGTTTCTGTTTGGCTCAGTATAGCCACTTGCAGTCATGCTTCAAGTCAGCCTCTCCTTGTGACTGAGAGCTTGTTTGTTTGATTTTGCGCTTCTCTACAGAGGTGGAGCAAAGCAGACCATGTCTTTGGTAAAATCATCTTTTAGTGAGAACTCCCAGTATAGCAGGATGGTCAAAAAATGAAAAAAGGGGACTGGAAAGCAGTAGTCGACTTGATTAAAAAGATTATCTTTTTCATAATGTTGCAGTTTCAAGCAGCACTGTTGCCTGGCTCCCAAAGCTGCAGTCTGAAAGCGATCTCAGAGCAGTCAGAATCTTTGGCAGACCAGATTGCTTAGGTAGATGTGATATCTTTTATTAGACCGACTAAATAGAACCTTTGGAGCACTCTTGAGTGGGAAAAAGAAGGAAATTCCTTTCTTCTGGAAGCAGTCGTAAGTGGATAAATTGTTGGATGTTCTCTCAAGCATGAAGCCTGAGAAATGAAGGTGAGGGAAACAGCAGATTCATGACTTTGCCCAGAGCAGACAGCTCCTCTGAATAGGACTTTGAGGCAGCATCAACACTAAGCACAGGAGATATATTATTAGTTAAGTGGAGGCAGGAAGGAAGAGGTTTGCATACTTCTGATTAGTGACCTCTACATTAGGTTGCTTTTCTAAAGCCACCATAGGAATAGGCTACTGTCCAGAGACAATCAACTTGTCTTTTTCAGTTCTAGAAAATATGTGGTTTTAGTCGCACCTCCCATGCAGGCAGGTGAAGATCACTGGGCACATCTACATGAGATGTTTACTGTGGAGCTGCCTAATTAGCTCTGCAATAAAGTCCCAACATCTATACATGCAGCCCTATTAGGCTGCAGGAAACTAAATAAACCTGACACAGGTTAGTGTTTGTAAGTACAAGTACTATCCTGTGGTGGCATATTCTTTACTGCACAGCAGCACACATGTAGATGCTGACAGGGCTTGCTGGGGCAGGAGGGTGCTTCAGCGTGGTGGCTGTCTGCCAGCTAGCCTTGCACTGAAGTACTCTCCTGCCCCAGCCAGCCCCCCTGCAGTATATTGAACTGGGTTGGAGCAGCCTGCGGCTGGCAGGGTGGCCCCCACAACCCCCTGCCAGCCACAGCTGCTCTGATCCGGTTCACTGTGCTGCAGTCCTGGGTGCACGTGAAGATGTGGTACCCAGGAGCAATAAACTCCAGTACAATATACACCAGAGTTTATTCATTTGCATTAATTTCACATGTAGATGTGCCCACTGTCTCCATTTCTGCTGGGCTGTGTTTGAGGTGGGAAAACAAGGTGGTGGAACTAAACAGTACTCCCACATTGCACTTAACTCAGCAGCAACTGTGACCACCTGCAATCCCTGAAGCCCTTCCTGTCCCAAATAGAAACAGGCCAGTATGGAACCACTTTTTTGATACTAGGGACAGTACCACTGCTGTTTGCCAGCTATGCAGATGAAGAATCATCATGGGTCAGTTCTCCGAAATGGTGGGGACACCAGAAGTGATAAAGCACATGAAACATACTCATAGAGCAGAAGAAAAACATAGTCACCAGATGCCGTATCCTAATTGAAACCCTTGCTCTCTTTCTAGCCTTGTGATCCTCATATGCTTGGCTGCCAGATGTGCCAGCTTCAACCTAACAGGGATGTTGCCCATCCAAACTAGCCCATAGCCTGATGATATAGCGAGAGATTTAAGTTTGTATCCTTTCAAGGTGAAACCAATTCAGTAGGTCAGCTCTTACCTCGAGACTAGCGGGCAAAAGCTAGACAGGACTTTCACCAGCAGCACTTATGTGCATACCCTTAGCATAAAACATTTGCTCTGTGTGTTCTCTGGCTGCCTCTGAAATCAGGGATTTAGATACACTTTAGACACTTCCCTCATATTTGGTTTGCAACAGACCTCAAATAGGAGTTAGGTGGCTAGTCTGTATCACTTCTGAGCATGTCAGTAAGCCAGGCTTAGCCACTTAGGATTTTTTCAGGCCAAAATGGAAATGCCTTCTGAATATTGGTGCCTAAGTGGTTGTGCAGTCACTAAGTGTGGTCAATTTAGGTCACTCTGGGAGCATCTGTAAGTGCTATTACTGTGCATGAATAAGCTCTGGAGCTTATTGCTCTGGAGTTTATTGCTCCCTGGCATTCCATTTGAACAATAAGCCACAGAGTTTATTCATGAGCAGCACGTTGAGCTGAGTCAGAGCAACCCCAGGTGGTAGGAAGCCCCAGGGGTCAGCCTGGGGTTGCTCCCCCCAGCTCAATGTGCTGCACAGGGGCTGGCTGGGGTATGAAGATGCTCCAGCATGGAGCTAGCCAGAAGGCAGACCCTGCACTGTGAAGCACATGTCGATGCCAAGACATTTACTGCACAGCTAATTAGTCTACTGCACAATAAATGTCTCATGTGGATGGGCCCTCTTTGTAACTTAATCCTGTGTAGGTGCCCTTGCTATCAGTTAGGATTTGGCCCCAAGTCCATTATAGAACTGAACTTACCAACACCAAAGGTTCCAAAGATTGTATTAACTCAGCCTAGCAGCACAATACAACAGAGCTTTGAGAATCATCTTGGAACAAGCAAAAAAATAACTACAAACAACCTATACCCATGAAACTAGTGACAAATTATACAAAAGTGCCGGACATTAGGGCTGTCTGAAATTTCTTTGGCTGTTTCATTTCAACGCTGTTTTGACTTGTTTCAAGCTCGAAACAGCAAAATCGAAATGACATGAAGGGCTTCGAAACAGCCTTAAAACAAAACGAGGGCAGTCGAAACGTTTCAAAGGTTTTGAATTGTTTTGAGTTTTGAAGCTGAAGCTGGGCTTGACTGCAGGGAAACAGAAAATAAGGAGAGAGAAGGGGAAGAGGGGGCAAGGATTGCTTTGATATTGACTGTATAGCTGGCTAGTGACTGTGATCTTTCCCTGAGGTCCCTTCCAATCCCAGTGCTCTGGGGGAGGGATGGAAAAACAGCATAAAAAGCAGCATTCTTTGAACTGGGCTGCTTTCTGCCTTGGGGTCAGTTACTGAGTTGTCTTCCAGAAGCTCAGCAGCATCAGACAACAAAGGCTACTACCACTGATTTCCTACTTGCTAGCCTAGCAAGTGGTATTCAGCAATACCTTTTGATTTCTTTTCATACCCTTTTATTTTATTATTATATTCATTGATTGATTCCTTTCAATTTATTGCTACACCAAAATCCTCTTTTTGTTTAGTCTATTTTGATTCTTTTCAAATCTGTGCTCTCTCTCACAGTGTGCATTCCGTTCACTGTGCAGGGAAGCACACCATAATTAATTGCATATTATAATATAGAATGTATATAGGAAAACACATACATGCATTGATATATTTTATATATACATTTATATATTTTTATGTTATCACATAAATACATATAAACATATGTACATTACATAAATACACATACCTACAATTATCTTAATATCTACATATATTGTATAAATCAGATAGATAACATTACAGAAGAAGAAGAGACAGATTTTCCAGCACACCAAGGCAAAGACAAGACACTATGAAACACACCATGAAGCATGTTGGAAAGGCAGCTGGCAAGCCTTCAGAGGGGGATGGAAGAAGGAATAGAGGGAGAGGTGTAAGTTCCCCCCCCAGCTGAGATGCAGCCTCTTTGCTACAACAATCAGGCATGAGGCTTCCACTAGTACAGGCAGCAACAAGAGGGGAGTGCTGGGAGAGAGACAACCCTATGAACTGCACTTCATCAACCTCCTAGGTACAGAAACTCATGGACATTGGAGTATAGACATTGGAATTCTGACACACTACAAGCTGCCAGACATCTGACTCCCCATGCACCTCTCCACTTTTACCTGCGCTGCTACATCCCCCTCCCTTCCCACCCCAGCCTGTCCCTCACCCCCTGATGCCTCCATTTCCATTTTCACTGACTGGCTTTCTTGCCTGCATTGCATGCCAGCCTTTGGCTTCTTTACTATTCCTTCCATCCAGGAACAGCACACCCCCCCCCCCAACTGCAGGTGCTTCCTCAGCCTGATGAAGGGTTTTTCAACCCCAAACCTTCTGAAGATATATTTCTTTAACTATTCAGATGGTCTACTAAAAGATACCACATTAGATTGACCCAAAGAACTCGTCTACCAGTGCCATGTCTTTAGACCAATACCCCTAGTACCTGTCTCCAGTCAGCTGACTGGAAGGACACAGGGCCCTGGGCACATCTAAGCCCTAGGGCAGGGGCTGGCAGGGAGAGTTCTCTGGCAGTTGCTGCAGAAGAAGCTCCTGCAGGAGAGGAAAGAAAGGCTCTGTGACAGTTTGGCTGCCTGAGATGCTGCTGGTGCTAGTGTGCTGTGTACTTACCTGTTGTTATTTAAAGTGATGGACTGAGCTGAGGCTGTAGGAGAGGAGACCTCATTGGGGCACATGAGTGTGTCATGTAGAGGCCCCAGCACCAGTGAGGGCATGCTTTAACACACACACAAAGTCACCCATGTCACGAGTTTTCTTGTCAGCAGCTTGAGGTGTAGTTTCCCAGAAACCCCTCTACCTACCTCCTTGAAACTTGGCAGGCTTCATGGCCTCAGCAGGAGCTACCATACCTGCAGTTTTCACCCCGCTGTACCTTAACACACACGACACGAGTTTTGCTTTCAAGACTTTGAGGTGCAGTTTCCCAGAAACCCCTGCACCTATCTCCTTGAAACCTGGTAGGCTTTATGCCCTCAGAAGGGGCTACCATGCCGGATGTTTTCATCCAAATCCACCACAAAATTAGAAAGTTATAGGCAGTTTTGTGCTTCCTCATTACAATAATCCTAGTTCTTTCAGCCTTTTCTTGCAAGTCATGGTTCCCAGAACTCTAATATTTTTTGTTACTTTTGGATAGACTCTTCCTACTCTGTCCACATCTTTTTCGAAATGTGGGGCCCAAAACTAGA